TGTAGCTTCGTGAGACAGAGAAATCAGACAGACAGCCCTGGATCTGCCGGGGGCAAACAAATAATTTTTTTTTAGTTTGAGGGACACCGTGCTGTTCGAATTCCTTAGCGAGTCAAAAAACAAAAAACAAAAAGGAAGGAACCCCCCCCCCCTCCCCATTGGTTCCATTAAGCTTGGTATTTATAATTAAATTTTAAAAGAAAGATTGATTAATAAATAATTGAATGAATCAATTTATGATTTGCTGCAAATGCCGTGAAATGTGAAATTTATTCAGGATATTTTGCTGTATTGCTATTTATTCCATTTTTCAAAGGTTGAATTCGCATTTTTTTTAAAAAATATATTCTTTAATTAGTTATTTTTAGTTGCTTCAAACACTTTTTTAGCACTTTAAGTCTGTAAATATGCATTTAAGGCCATTGCTATTAGTTGATCATTGTCAATTTCATGACCATATGGAGAGGAAAAATATATCCAAGATTAATTTGAAAAGCTGACATACTATATTTAGTATAATTTTTCTTGGGTTATTGCAAGTCGAAAAATGCAAACCACAGATCAAGTACTAGTGTTGGATGAATTTTTGTTTGTTTCTTTTCCCATAATTTGAGTTGAGAATAGCAATTTTTTTAAAAGTAAAATGTCCCCATCGGCACCCCAGTTCAATGGGAAAAAGGGGGGGGGGGCTGACATCAATCTGGTGGACATATTATGACATATACCTTAAAATTGTACACTGCATGAAAATTCAGTTCATTTATTCATGATCAGCTGTACAAACCAAACGTATCACTATCAATAATATGACCCTAAGCTAATATAATTTACGATTTATATACATATTCATAAGAAAATGCATTCACAATTAAAGAAATGCTTCATTGGTCAAACAGGTGAGAATAATATATCAATGTGCAGATCCGTATACAGAATACGATAGCACTTGGCATTCAATATAAGAACTTAAAATCGAGACCGTGTTCTTCAACTAGAGGAGGAGAGAAAGGTGACTAAAAAACGTGAAGATTCAAGGACATCTTCCAGACAACTCGAACAAGCCATCAATGATTTCGGAATTAAAAATAACATTTTGATTATTGAGGATTCCACGTATGATGTTAAACCCACATGTGCAGTTATAATGAAAGTTAAGAGAGCTGGCTATCTTAGAAAAACTATATAAGTTATTTATTTGTTTAAAAAAAAAAAAATAGCTAGCAATTACCGGGAAGTGTGAAAAATAAATTAGTTTTCCAAACTCATTCGCGCGTAAGGCCCAGCGAGATTAAGAAAGACAACAAATAATAATAAAAAAAAAATACGTAACGTTAAATGCATGTGCTATTTTGTTATTGATTTAATTGAAAAATAAAATACATGGACGGGGAAGTATAATGAACAAGTGTCTAATTACTAGGGCGAATTAAACTTTTCAGATCTCTCAAAACTTTGACACACGGACAATCATGTAATCCTTTTTACTGTGTGTGTGAGCGACTGACCTCTCAATAGATACGGTATCATTATTTTTTTTAATTTATAATCTCTCGCCTGATTTAACAGCAAAATATTGTAGTCATGTTAATGTGCCCTTATTTTGTACGCTAATCTAAATATGGTGAATTAAATAGTGTATACAATATTTTATACTAAAATGTACAGAAGAATTCATTTTATTTTACGTGGCATGAATTTGTAACATTTGTATATTTTCTTTTTTTAACATGATAAAACGTTCCTATTTATTTCAATTATTACGGTTATTAATAGTTTTAATTTCATAAAGGTTTACACCAAAACTTTTATAAAAAAATTTTAATTGATGTTGCATAGTCCAGTCGGAATCTTTGTTATGTATATAAACAAGTTTCATTTTCAGTAATACGAAATATTTCGAGTCTGTTGAATACCGGAATTATCAAACAAACAATCGGAAAGTCTGTGATGTTACTCTGTGTGTAGATAGAATCGACTGAGGTGATCCGAGTGTGTACGGTAGCGAGACACTAAGACAATAGGTGTCACTGCTGCATTATACAGAAAGGCACTCGCCGGAGTTCACATGAATTTAGTTACGCAACATTACGACCACAGCGAGGTTAAGGACACAAGTTTGAGCCATTAAACACATTATCAATTGAAATATTTATAATCTATCACTTTCCTTCACAATAGATAAATATATAAAAAGAAATGATCTCTTATAATGTGAAACTCGTTTAAGGGAAAAAAGAAAATAATTTTAGCACACCCCCCCCCCCCCTGTTTTCTGGTAGATCGGTTTAGTGTGCGATGCACATTTTACAGGACTGAAAAGTGACAGATCGCACAATAATAAGTTATTGTGATGTCGTCTGAACTACATTAATTATAGATCTATAAACATATAAAAGAAAACGAACTTTAAGTGTGGATATAAACTTTAATAAAACAAAAGGAGTGCAGTCCCGCGAAAGACCTGTTTACTTGGTTTGACAGGGCATGTCCATACATTTTTAGTTTGGGTGGGCAATAACAAGCAACAAAAAGAGTGGTGTAACAGAGTCTAATTAAGTCTATTTTTCATGAGTATAGTTTAAATACACACCTTGTTCTAATGTTCATGGGGTACATTGTGTGAACTTGCAATTATTATTTAAATAATTCAATAAATTCATAATTTGAAAATAAATTACATGCAAAAAGTTCAGAAGAAATAAAAGAAATCAAATTTCAGTCGGAATTATACGCACTGAACATACATGTAAAACTTTATTTAGAGAGAGAGAGAGAGAGAGAGAGAGAGAGAGAGAGAAGATTACGGTAAAACTTTGCGCTGATTATCATTTGGGCCAGTGATTGAGAAATGAAATTGAGACAAAACGTTATGATAAATACGTTTGTACCAAGTGGTCAAAGAAATTTAAAGTAAAACGACACATATATTTAAGGTTTTTATGTAATGCGGGGAATTCTATTCATATTTTAAGCGTTTAAAGGTTTAAAGGTTTTCTTATTTTTAATGGTTTAGAGCCTAATTAGGACACAATTGTTTGATATAGTATTTAAAAATTCACGAACTATTTTCGATCAGCAAGGAATTTTAGTAAGGACCTCGTTTATTATGAAGTATTGATACCAAGTGTCTAGTGTTTTTTTTTCGTAAGGGGTAAGGGTGGAAAGAGGGGTTGGGGTTGGCGGGAGGTGTGTTTCCACATCAGCTGTAACAAACGTCATACGATCATTATTCCTACCCATTTCAGAAATCTGTCTGAGGATACCAGAAATCCTTAAAAGCGGTTAGCAGGGATATTTTAAATTACATGTACAATTACTCCTTAATTTTAAACCAAGTCTTTATTATTTTACAAAAATTGTACATAGAGAAAACAAATTCCGAGGCGCTTGTCTTGCTGAGAAATATTTAAAAACATGTTTTTCTAATCAATGGTAAAAGGAAATAAAGCAAGTTACATGCATACGGATATACGTACCCATTGTATTGAATAGAATAAAATGATAATTAATTCTTGAATTAAATTTATTACATGGCCGTAGGAACCGGGGGCGTGCCCCCCCCCCCCCCCCCATAGTTTTGCCGATATATACAATACTATAGAAAACATAGCTGCTACATGCTAGTGCGCACTCAATAATAATATCTGATGACCTTTTTTTAAGCTTGTCAAGGAATTTTCGTAGTTCTTAGTCCCCCCCCCCCCAACTGAAAATGTATGGTTGTGCCCCCTTAATGGGAAATTGCTACCTACGGACCTGTATTAATTGATTTTAAGATTGAACTTGGAAAGAGATAAAAAGCAACGGTTCCATATATTCACTTAAGTTAAAACTTGATTTGCCAGATTTAATTTAATACTTTGTACTTTATATCGAATTAGTCGGGAGCTATGTTAATAATAAAATTATCTATATATTTTTATTACGTTTATCATCACAAACCAAGATAATCAGCACTGTTCTGGAGTTCAATACTGGCAATATAACTTAATGTCAATAATTATCGACGTATTGCAGTAAAGACGGTACATTTTTAATAATTTCTCTCAGTTTGTCGATAAAAATGGGGGGGGGGGGGTATCAGTACGTTTGACGGCGATTAGGGATTAATTAATTCTAGTTGTTTTCATAATGAATATAAAGAGAAAATTATCAGTAGATGTACGCTGTACATAAAGATAATTCAAGGAAAATGAAAAGTTGAATTAATTGAAAATCAGAAATCTAAATCATAACATTGGCTTTAATCAGCTTTTCAGTGTACACAATTATGTAGAATTAAAAACATGCAATACTATGTGGAGAAAAGATTAATATAATTAATTAACTATAAATTAAAAAGAATTGTAAAACTCGTTAACTCTTTAAAATGTCCGTTTACTCATTTCTCAGATGTTAAATGGAAACTCATTTAAAATACTTGGACAAAAGAATTAGAAAAAAAAAAAAAAGAAAATAGAACATTTTAATAAAACATTTTCAGTTATATCTAGCATCAAGCGCGCTCTATCCATTTTGAAAATTAATCTTGTATTCAAAAGCAACTATGAAATAAAATAAGACTTTTTTTAAATATCAAATAAATTTCCTAGGATACAAAGCTTTTCAGAGTAGGACAGAGTAAAATTAGTTGTACATTGGTATATACTGAATAAACTGTAGAATGTTTTGATGTACTTTGATGTACAGTATGAAGGTTCAGGGAATAACAGCAATGTACTGTGAATATCAGTTATCTGTACAGCTAATATCTTTGACGTACAGTGGTAAGCAGTGGCTGCGTACTGTAGAGTATTGTGGGGTACTGTGATGTACAGAGGAAGTGTACTGTGAAGTACAGGGAGGTGCTGTGAAATGCTGTGTTTCTGTACAGTGTTGTACTGTTATGTACTGTGAAGTACAGAGGTAAGTACAGTAATGTACAGTGAAAGTACAAAGGTTGACAGAGATTTTCAGAGAAAAATCAGAATATCAGGGGATAATAAGTCCAGTAGTGCAAGATGAAGGACACTCCTAGTGATAAACAACTCTTTTTGCTGTCCCTAACTAAGGATATCAACATGGAGGTATGATAAAGTTACTTTGTGATAATAAAACAAAGTCTGCACTAATAAAGAAAACTAAAAAAAATGGAATCACACTGTATTTAGTGCTTTCCCTCCTATGGATATGTAATGGTCGTGATGTATAATACCGATACAAAGAGAGTCACTGTAATCCATAACAATAACATAGGAAAACACATCCTGGCAATACAACACACCAGCACAGATCAGAAACTGTATAGACTACCTAATTACATCACAGAAAACCGCAAAGGAGATATCTTTGTGTCTGACTTTGAATTCGCTGTAGTGGTGAAAGAGCGTGGAGAAAGACATCGCTTCTCCTACACAGGATGTCCATTAGGATCAGGACTAGAACCACGTGTAGTTTGTATAGATGCACTATTGATCATCCCTGTGTGTGATGTTAACACCCATACAGTACAAATGATAGACAAGGACGTCCAATTTCTGTCAATGTTACTAAAACCCCAACAAGGGATGAACAGACCACAGGGCCTCTATTGTGACGGCAAAAGTACTTAGTAACCTTCTCTGGGTGGGAGCATGGAACAGTGTACATACATATGCAGATACATAGAAAGACGGCACTATTAAAGAATTAAATCTAGTTAGATAACTAAAAACATGGACACACACCTACAGTGACAGGACTATCCTATGGGTTAATGTGTTATATGTAATAAGATACATGATTATACAGGTCTGCATATATAGGTACATACTAGCATACGTTCTTGTCTGAAGGGTAATTATAATAATCATGACAAAATGATTACGTATAACTAATCATACATTGGACGTATAGTACTAGTAAATGACTAGTAAATGACTATCTTACATCAGTTTCGGGACTATATATATATATATATATATATATATATATATATATATATATATATATATATATATATATATATATCGGTATATTGTAAAACAATCTCATGCTGGGCAAACCTTTTTCCAGGCGCGAAAAATAAAAATGTAAATGTATTACACAAATATATGTACCAAGAGTGTTCCAAAATAATGTCATTTCACCTTCGTGTAAATATCTTACTAAAACCACATTGACACGTAAAATTGATCACTGAACCGTAGCGGAAGAAAATTTCATGTTCACAGTTTTACTGACTTAGCCACAGTGTACATTGTGTTATAGGGTATTCATTACACTATACTCAAAATGAATGGAAAAAAGAACAAACAACGCATTTGAAATTAGGGCCTATTAAAGGTAGGTCCTTACATGGTATTAATTTGATTAAACCCGTAGATATTCATCGTGAGGTCTGTTATACCTATGGAAATGGTCAAATGTCTCAATGGTCTGTTTGTAGGTGGGTTGCTAAATTTAAAACAGGTTACGAACACCTCAAAGATGCTGCTCGCCAAAGTCGCCTTGCAACAGTTACAACCAATAATAAAAACGTAAAAATCCACCAAATCTTACATGAAGACGCAAGATATTCTGTGAGGCAATAGGCCCGGATGACAAACTTGTCGTTGGCAGGTGTTCATGGTATTTTGAAAAAAAATCTAAAGCTTAGAAAGATAAACGCTTGGTGGATACCTTTTTTGCTTAGCGATGAAGAAATGAGAGTCCGTGTTGAAAACACAAAGAAATTATTAAAATTGCATCTAAAATATATCAAAAGATCTTCTGATAATTTAGTTACTGGTGATGAGACCAGGGTATACTATTTTGAGCCGTAAGAGTTCTAACAGAATCTGGGCACCAAGGAATGCAAAACGTCCTAATATTGCTAAAAGATTACGCACCGTAAACGTTTTATATGTTATTTTCTTTGACAACAAAGACCCTGTAATGCAAATTCATGTGACAAAGAGCAAAACAGTTACAGATAACTACTATAAAAATGTTGTTAATAAAAAAACTGAAGAACTAGTACGAAAGTCAAGGCCCAAAAATAGGTATGAAGTATCTCCTACTTTTGCAGGACAATGTTCCTGCACGAAAAGCACGCGTTATAATCGAGTATTTAAAGGCGGAAAAGGTTACTGTCCTACCACCCCACCCAACCCCTGATGTCTCCAGATTTAGCCCCGTGTGACTTCTTTCTGTTCCCCAAACTTCAATCAATCTATCTGGAAAAAATACAAACCACGAAATGCCCTACGGTCTGTAATTTATCAGTATGTGATGGGTGTCCCTATTGAGAAGTATGAAAAATGGTTCCAGAAGTTGATTTATCATCTAAAAAGTGTATCCAGGCCAAGGTTGAGTAATTTGACGGGCAGGGTGAAATATAAATACCAAATATTAATAAACGTGCGTGAAAACAGCCAGGTGTTATTATTTTCCGAACATCCCTCGTACGTGTTTAAACTGTATTGTGATGGCATTTGACAAACCCATGATGAGACTGCAGACAGAGAATCTGTAATATGTATAGTTTATTAAATGTATGGTACGAACAATGTGTCAATATCAATTATGAATTGATAAGCACTATTGTAAAACATATATTACAAGATCAATTTATGAAAAAGTTGTCCAGTGATATAATAATTTTTCAAAAGGACAAATTTACAGATTCTCAGAAAAAACTTTAGATCTGAAAAATCATATTGATAAATTATCACCTTAATTAAGATGATTACTTATAAATAATAAATTAAAAAATATAATTTAAAAATTTCGTACTGAAATCATCATCCACCTGTAGAAAATGGAAGATGAAATATGGAGATAAAATACAGTATTCAATCTCATGGTCCATTTAACAATACAAATCGGAAGTAAAACAAACACGAACCTCCAAAAAAAAAAACAAAAAAAAAAACAAACAAACAAAAAACAAATTTAAAAAAAAAACAGAGGCGGAATCAGGTGCCATGGAAGAAAGCATACCCTGTCAACGGGTCACACTCGATGCTTGCTTGTTATTATCGGGTAAACGGAAAATTCTGTAGAAATTTCAGTGGGTAAATAATGGCCTTACCAATTGCTATGAAAAACGTCAGCCAGCATTTGACCTAATGAGAGATTGTATTTGCTGATTATGTCATCGTATCGACCATAGAACTTGCAAATGATGACTTCAAACTAGACTGTTGATATCCTTGTTTCATCAACTTAATGGTTAATAGCTTGCCTCGTTTTAAATATCGATCGTACATAGAGTATTCTCTTATCGAATCAACTGGGAGACAAAACCTCATATGCAGGTGATAAGGGTAATCATAAAGTTCCTTTGAGCTTTAAAAATCCACATCTTATTAACACCACTTCTGAAATGTACCGTTGTGCATTATTTCTGGAGTTCCTTCTTCACTGCTGTTACTATTTTAGTAAGGAGTAAAGAAAGAGGCTTGGTAGAACATTTACTGGAAACCACTACCTATCTTTGTTTGTAAGGATTTGTTAGGTTTGCCACATTTCGATAGAATTTGTGCACACTGTAATAATACTCAATTTGCTGATAAATTTCAATATATTCTAGAATTACCGAAACAATTGTTATTCTCACAGACCGAATGCTATGAAAATCATGGAACGTCAAGCCAAAACGAAAAAAGAAATATCCTGAAAAACTAGGTATGCTTATCCTAAAATTTACCATGCTATTGTCCTCCTTAATATATTTTCTCGCTCTTTTTGAATTTTCTTTCAAATTTTCTGCCATGATCTTTGTTGTTTTTACATTGTATTTGTACACTGTGATATTTTTCAAGGAGCCTTAACCTACCCGCGTTAGACATTTTATTAAAGTATTTTAACAATTAAGCGTTAAAGGATAGTGAAAGATTCTTAAAGGTGAAAAAAAAAGTCAAAATCTTTAAATCAGACTCTCTTATAGAAATCTCAAATTGCAAGATAACTGGAAACAAAACGTTCTTCAGTGCATTTATTCATACAAATGATTCAACAATATGAAAATCAGTGATGAATAGTAAGAATGTATTGTCATCAAAATGAAAATGTGTCTATTTACAATCAGATCTCATGGATTTTTGCCACCGATGATATCTGCAGGCCATGCCGACCATGCGCAGTAATGGACAAGGCAATAAATGCAAAGTATAGGAAAAAATATCCTTACGTCATTTGCATCTCGAACATGCTCAAAACATTTTTACTATTTCTACCAATATTTCAGATTTTATTCATCAATTTTACAACGTTGCTTATTATCCAAAAAAAATAAAAGAAAAATCATTCGATTTGCGTTCATATCTTACATACTCCCATGTACGGGGGTAGGTTTTGCAATGCCTTTCTGTACAATCATTAATTATTAATAATCTGACGGAAAAAAAAATACTGCAATTTAACATTGGATTCAAATTATTTTTTTACAAGAATTTTATATCAATGTTTTTCTCAGATGTCCGCGACAAATTACGCTAACCATTGTACTGGCTGGGTCAAAGCTTGTGAAAAATGATGAATAATTTGGATTTGGATTTATCAATTTTAAAACAATTCATATATTTAGTATTTTGAAATAAAAGTCTCCATTAACCCTATTAATACTAAAGAAAGATATTGAATAATGAATTTTTTTTTAAAATGTTTTTTCTTTTCTTTTTTCTTTTTTTTTTACATTCGCTTCTTGTAGCGATCGGAAGTACTGACGACTCATAAAAAAACACACATCTACAACTCATGATCTGTTATCTCTGACATGTCTCCAGTTCTTGTTTTTAGCCATTCATGATAAAACACGCGGACAAAATTTCATTTTAAAATGAGGAAATTGCCAATAAAAAAAATATGAATTTTTTTAAATGTAAAATTCATATTGAGATCTTCCATCCCTGAGTACATAATAAGATTTTCAAAATCCGCTACCGCTCTTCAAACACCTTACAACATCCCATACAGGGTCTGGTCAGCACAGCCTTTCAACAATGAACAAACATGAAAATTTTGATCTATGAAATATATGAATATAACGAACATTCAAGCTCAAAAGTCCATTTAAACAATACAAATCAGGAGCAGAGCAAACAAGGACCTCTGAAACATCAGGGGTGCATGGGATCAGGTGCCATGAGAAGTGAGCATCCTCTGCTGACCGGTCATACCCGCCGTGTGCTCCTTGACATGATCGGGAAAATTGATCAAATTCAAGCTTCTGTATTCGACTCTAAGAATAGTACCATGGCTACATCTTAACATTTCTCATGCAGAATACTCAGTCTTGCCTTATAATTCAAGTTAATTGTGGTATAAACTGAATGTCAGCCATTCTTACCTAAATATATACATTTGTGGTATCTCTTTATTATATAAACATGCAAAGAGCAAATATCTGTATGAAGTTTTTCGAAGGTCAAAGGTCATTACGTGACTTATTCACACAACTGCAGTAATATCTGCATATAAAGACTTACTCAACTTAGCAACAAAGTATGTTTTTCATGCATAAAAATGTATAAAATACGCAAGTAAAATAATCATTTTATTTACAATGTAAACGAGTATTTGATACAGTTCCTGATCGTTTTTTCTGTAGAGAATAGAAAACTACGCAGTACAGTTAAGGTGACAAATG